CATCTGATATACAAATTTGAGCTTTTAAGTAAAAATTAGAAGTTTGGAAAACTTGGATTTATACTTACAACTTTATAGCTTCCCAGTACTTAAAGATTTCTGTGATGAGATCAGTGGCAATATTAACAGATGTGATGTTTTTGTGAATGTATCATGAAATGTGTCACCAGTGAAAAACCTTCATAACTCACTTAACTAATACTTTCCAAGTGACCAGCACACGATGTTACAAAATCCACTCAAATTCCAAGTAACTAAGCACAGAGAGATCACTGATTTGTTTTCACATTCCACACTGCAACTAACCTTTAGATACTCCTACTTGTCAAGTTCTGGTGTAGTATCAGAGAAGAATATACACAATTATCTAAATAGGCCATTAAAATACTCTTCCATTTTGAAACTGTATCTCTGTGTGAAGCAGGATTTTCTTTGTGAACTTAAACCGAAACAACATATTGCAACAGATTGAATATTTAAGCATATATGAGAATCCAGCTGTCTTCTACTTAGGCAGATAGCAGAGATTTTATAAAATGCAAAATAATGTCACAGTTCTTATTAACTTTTGTTGTTTTCAGAAATATAGCTATTCCTGGTAAACATACATTATTTATGTTAGCATATATGGGGTTGATTATTGTTATTTTTAAATGATTTAAAGTACATATTAATTTTAATATGCCCAAGAATAAATATCGATGAATCCCTGGTTGCTGTGCATCGTTAACATGTTCAATTGCTAACTGAAAGGCTGGAGGTTTGAGTTCATACAAAGGCACCTCGGAAGAAAGGCCTGGTAATCTACTTCTGAAAAATCAGCCACTGGTTTTTATTCTGACACACACTGGGTTGCCGTAACTAGGAATCCGCTTGACAACAACAGGCTTTTAAAAATATCCTTAATAAACAAAATTTCCTTGGTGTTCTAATAATTTTTTTCAGAATGTAAATGAGTCCTGAGATAAAAAAGACGGGAACCACAGCCATGATAACATATTTCTTCACATATGTTGTAGACGTTTCTGTCCTCTAACATTCCATCTCTTTGGCTCATTAAAAGAATGAGAACCTTTACATACAGGTTGGAAATTGGTAATACTATAATCTTTGGAAAGAAGAAAGTGGAAGAAAAGAAAAAAAAAAAAACATTGCCAACTGCAATCTATTTTTTACAGATCTTTCACTATAAGTCATTTCTATTAACCAAGTCTTGCTATAGATGTTTATAACAAAACATTAAAGACTGGGTAGAAAGGAGAAAACAAATTACTCTGCAGAGAACCCAGCGACTCTGCTAAAATACTGTCAGTTATTTATCTACTGTCAGCAGAGGTTGTACACTATAATCCTTGACAAGCTCAGATTCAGAAAGAATGAAGAGGGGGCAAGCATTGCATTTAAGGGTCTGTTCTCATGCACAGACATTTTAACACAGATTTAAAGCCAGAATGTATCTTCTAGAAAATGTCACTTTTGATTTTGATACATTTCCTAGCAAGTAGGCTCTACATTTGGTTGACTTAGTACGAGATATGTTAGAGGCTAACAGTATATTTTAGACCATTCATGATCCCAGCGTGGATCTAACACAATGAGGTCAGTCAGCATCACTTCATTTTGAGAGTTGGCTACTGAAACTGCATGATTTCATGGGGATATTTTTTATGATAAAGAGGAGGGTTTTATTTTTGTTTTGCTAGGCAAGGTAATGACAGGACCTAAGAACCCCGTTCCTCGCCAGTGTTCATTTCTCCTTATGTTCACAGGGGAGAAAATCATCAGTACATCCTCAGGTACCAGAATACCTCCCTCTGGCAAATATACATAGCCAAGGTAAAAATGCAATGGAGTGAAGAGTTTCCTTCAGGCTACTGTGAAGAAAACTCCCCTTCACGCAGGTAGCTAAAGTAGCTCTTAACACTGACAAGAACATCTGAAGCACAAGGAAGGGGAGGCTCCAACAAAGAGGGCTGAATAGGAAATACAACCCTGGATATTTCTAGGGGAAACTATGTGTCCCTTTAGCTTACAGTTGACATCGACTGGTCAACTACATGATTTCTACCCATCTGATAAGAGGTCTAAATAAATGTGTGCTTGTAAGTGGGGATGTTTGATGAATGCAGAACCAGAATCTTAACTTTCTAATTCATATTCACCAATTAAAAATAAACTGTATTTTTATGAGCACATTTACATAAATCAGATGATAAAGCATCTACCACTAAAGGGTAGGAGTTCAGCTCACAACATTTGCATATATTCTCCTAAAGAAAATATAGGCGCTTTCGATTTTCATTGAAGAGTCTTGCTGCGTTGGAACGCTAATGGGCTTAGAACAGTAAATTTTGAAGAAACTGATTGCTACCCCTGTAGCTAGCAAATGTCTGCCTAGACCCAGTGGCATTTGAAAAAAGTGTTTTATCATAAAATTATCCCAGCAGAGTCCATTCTGCAAGATAACATCATCATCATCATCATCAGTACTCCATGCAGGACCCAACAGCTCTGGCACAATATTGCCAGCCATTTATCTGTTGTCAGCACAGGTTACACACTGTAATCCTTGACTGCCTCGGAATTAGAATGTCTTTGATGTCCCCACAAGAGTTTTTTGCCCGAAGGCTTTACCAATGCTCGGCGGCTCAGTGTTTATTCCTCGTAATCTTCCTCTCATCTCCAGGCTAGCAGTGACAGATGGTTATGGGCACACAATAGTATTAAGAGTTTGATATTTTTTTTATGCTGTGCTCTCTGTACAACAAATAGCTATCAGACGCGGGCCAGAGAGCTGACATGGCTCGCTTAGGTAATGGCAAACAAACAGCTCGGGTTGATGCTTTCTGTCATTTCCCCTCCTAACCCTGCTTGTTTTCATTGTATACTCTCAAAGGTAAACTATATTAACCTTATAGACTGTTATTAAAAAGATATATCTATATGAGCATAAAGTGCTTTTCTTTTCTCTTTTTCTTACTCTTTTGATTATGAAAGTAATACTGCTGACATATTGAACAAATATCGAATGTCAACATAAATTTTTAGTGTGTGATAATATCCCCCTTCATATAGCTGTGTGTCAGGCGGGAACCCGCGGATGATGCATAGCAGTAAATAACCCAAACAAAATTAGTTCTCTTGTCAGCTTCTACCTTGTATGTCCCCAGGCATCAGTAAAATTGACTGCACGCTAGATTTTCAAAATTAGCCCTAATGTTAGCTATGTGTCTGGCAACCTCCAAGTTTCCAATGTTCTACTATATTACCCGTAAGGATGAATGTGTTACTTTTATATTTTGGCATTTACTCTTGCTGATGCGGCTTTTTTTTCCCTCTTCTCCAAATTAAAAATAATTTAGCTTCAACAATAAGAATGTGCACAAACATAATGCGGCATCTCTTTAAGCAACTAACTTTAGGCAATTAAATTAAATTAAAGCAAAAATATACAAAGGAAGAGAGGGAATTATTCAATTTAATATTGTTAATTTTATTAACATAGCTCTGTCTTATTTTGTGCAAAGTACTGAATAACGTGATTCTCACTCATTCCCCACTATCAGTATGCTGTCTTGTAACAGGAATCTACATATTACTTAATTTAGCATCTTTAGGATGACCAATAACCAAACTTTTGGACATGATTTTCATGCAGTAACCTACCACTTCAGCAATGGCCACATTTTGCAGAATAAAAGAAAAGGCTCTACAGAAGAGAATAGATGATGGCATTGATTTTACCTTGAAACAGGTTAACTTTATGTAGTGCTTCTACATCTAAAGGTAACATAAAAGAGTACTGAAGACTGGCACATTGCAAGTAAAGTAGGATTTGAAATGAACGTTACTCTAGTAGAAAGACTAGCTTGGAAATGTGGAGTTGAATAAACAAATCCAAAACACATTCCACTTTCCATCCTGAAGTTTTACATTCATACATTTGGAGTCAAAGATGAAAATCTCTTTAGGTACCAGATGCTGCAGATCATCTGGGAGAGCTTTGGGAGTTTTAATGTGCTGGAAGTCAAATCCTCGGCAAAGGCATTTTGCCTGGCCGGTGTGGTGTGCTTTTTATTATTTCACCTGCAAACAGAAAAGCGAACCTAATGATCAGCCCAGTGTCTCTGCAGTAAAGAGTCCATAATCTGTGGGGGAAGTGAACTCTAATCAGGCCACATGCAGATTAAACAAACTGGGGGGAATACAAACTAGATTAAAATGTTCATGCCTACTATGAGAAGATTATCAGAACATTTTACCTCTTTAAATCCTAATTTACAGGAGGTAGGTTTAAATTTATGAGTTTATATTTGGTCCGATTATATGCTGCATTGGATTTTCCTCTGTTCAGAAAAAAATTCTTTGGGAAAATGCTTTGCTTAGGCTAATACAGAGATATGTGGGAGGAGTTGATTTTCAAATATATGGATACATATTATGACAAGTAAAATGAGTTTGCTTAGTTGGATCTGGTCAAATGAGAAGATAATGGTAATTGCTTTTGTTTTAATGTTAATATTGTCAACCATTTGTATTTATAAAATGGTTTTGGATCATAATAAGCACACACACATATTTATAGTGAAATCCTGTATTTCTAATACTTTCAAATTTAATTTTTAAAAATATAGTTTTGTGGCTGTTGAGAATATATACAGCAAGACAACATTCTTATACTTTGAAACTTCTAGAAACAAGATTTGATTTTCTAGAAGTGCCATTGTTAATTGAGCAAATTACTGATACTAATTACCTGTAACTCAAATTTTATCTAAGCACACATCTATTAATAGAAAGATTTTGAGTAGTATCACCTTTGTACCACATTAGTACTTGTTGATATTGTTAAGTGCCGCGGAATCATTTCTGACTCATAGTATTGCCACAGTAAACTCATCTTTTCTAATGCTAATGGTACAAAACATTAATACGTTACTCATGAGAGTTTCTATTGCCAGTTCTACAATTCTTACTACATTGGCATGCCTTGAACTTACCACCTGTGAGGCCAGACAATATGCAATGGTCTTTGCTGATCATCAACTCCATCCAAGATGTTCCTGGAATCCAGAGTTGGATTTTGTTTCTTTTCCTTATAAGAAGAGTTTGAATTATCTGATGAGTTCAAGTCTGCGATTTGCATTAATGAGCTTCCCACGCTTTCTTGGTGTGCTGTTTCAAGGCCAGAGAAGGCATCACAAAGTCCTGAAGTAATGCTCTGCAATACATTTCCAGCACCTTTTTGCTCCTGTGGTGAAGGAAGGGCCATGGATGGAGCAGCATCACCATTTCGTCTAAGGCTGAGCATCTTCTTGAAATGGGTGGTTTTGTGCTTGGGCATGAATCTGTTACAAAAGGGAATGTAATACACGTTTACTGAAAAGATTATTTCAAATTTGTTCTGTACTTTTCGTAAGAACATGATGAATATGCATAATACTGAGAACAAATAAAATGAAGATCTTACAACAAACATTCTGGAAAAAAAAATGACAAAAAGTAGCAGCCATCTACAGAAAGTTCAAAGTTTGGACAGACAGGTACCTCTTTGAGTAGTTTCTAAAACTAGCCCTACAAACCTTTACCAAGTTACAGACTAGCAGCCGACATGGCCCTCCTTTTTGGTAATAGTTATTTCTGGCCAGGGAAAACATACCATAAAAAAAAATCAGACTAGAGAAATGTTTATTGTTGTTGTTAAGTACCGTGGAGTTGGCTCTGACTCACAGTGACCCTGCACAGGGTTTCCAAGGCTGTAAATCTTTACAGGAGCAGAACACCTCATCTTTCTCCAGTGGAACCACTGGTAGTTTCGAACTGCTGACCTTGAGGTTGGCAGCCCGATTCATAACCACTACACTACCAGAGCCCCCTAGAGAAACTGTTTATTACTTGTCCTTCACTAGCCTTTCTAGATTCTCATTTTGTATTTTCTAGTCACACTTGTTCATTAACCTCAAAAAGGTTGTCAGTTTCTCGGAATAACACCAGTCATTTCTGCTCACGTGAGTGTTTAGATTCCTGGTCACCTGTACAGTTGTAATTAAATTAAATTGACCATGTTAAGTTTATTTTTATCTCTTTGTTATGTATCACTTACACTCCTATCTTCCGATAATCTTTTATTTACACAGAGTTCAGTACCTGTCACTATTTGATAAAAGTTAAATAAAATTTGATCTGAAAAAAAAAAAGAATTAGTATTTTCTAAACCTCTAGCATCCCCAGTGGCACAGTGGATTACGAGCTGGGCTGCTAACCACAAGGTCAGTAGTTCAAAACTACCAGTTGCTGCACAGGAGAAAGGTGAGGTTTTCTGCTTCCATAAAGGTTTATAGCCTCAGACCCTATACAGGGTCACTATGAGTTTGAACTGACTTGGTGGCACATACCACCACTACCACCAAAACACCTAAGACAAGCTTACGAGTAAAGGATATGTCCTTGAAGTGCTCACCACAATTTCTTAAATGTAAATGTGGAAGAAATTTTAATTTCTTAAGTATACCCGTTCTCCTGAAATAAAACTAAAGGCAAGGCAATAGAAACTGCTCGGAACACAGTAGAAGAGAGACATGTGAACAGTCAACTAACCTTCATTGTTGTGGTTAGGTGTTGCTGAGTCGGTTCTAACTCATAGTGACCCTGTATAGGGTTTCTGAAAAGTGGCTAGTGGGCTTGAACTGCTGAGTCTATGGTTTAAACCAACCTTGCAGTCCACTGCTTATCCTACAGTATATACTATATACAGACTGGGCATTCCAACTACTGAAACTAAGAGATTATTCCTGACTTCAGGACCAGTAAAGACTTGTTGTTGTTGCTAAGTGCGATCGAGTCGGTTCCAACTCATAGCGACCCTATCTAGGGTTTCTGAGGAGCAGCTGGTGGGTTTGAACTTCTGATCTTGTGGTTGACAGTCCAGTGCTGATGGTACAGTGCCACTCTAGGAGTCTATTAAAAGCTTAAATAGGATTATATGTGAACATTTTTGAAATACAGAGAGGGGAAGTTCAGAACTGAGAGAAGAGTGTAGTCAAAGGAAGAGGTATTTGAATGAACATTGAGTCTTCATGGAATAAAATGCAACTTAAAGAGGCTGGAAAGCCCATTTTGGGATCTGAGGTCAGGAGAGCTAGACTAAGGCAAGACTACTAATGGCTTTCTTGCAGTCCCTGAGGCTCACCCTAATACTTCACCTCCTATGATAGGTGGTGGTGGTTGTTGTTACATGCCACTGAGTCAATTCCTACCCATAGTGACCCTGTGTAGAGTTTCCAAGGAGCAGCTGGTGAGCTTGAACCAGCGACTTTGCAGTTCAAACAACTTTGCAGCCTGATGCATTTGCCCACAGCACCACACCAAGACTCCATGATAGATAGTGGAGTAAGTGAAAAAAGAAGAAGAATATGTTAATTTTAAGAGTGTGCAGGAACTGTACCTACACCTATAACTGCAGTAGTTCAAAAGAGGAAACAATTCCCGGCTACAAGAATGATTCCCACCCCCTCCACACAAAGAGTGGATAGGGATGGGCAACTTGAACATTGGCTACCCAAATGGGGGAAGGGATACAAAGGTAAGAAGTGACTGGCTTACAAGCTTTCAAGAGGGAACCTAGATCCACAGGGTGGGGAGGATAGTGGAGTCTCCAGTGAATAGTACCCAACCTGTCTTGGAAGGGCTGATGAAAAGAAATGCAGATGGGTCTCATGTCATGCAATGGTGAAAATTGTTACCAGAACTGATTGTGAGGACTGGAAATGTAAAGGCAGATATTTTATAGCAATGAGGGGAGTGACTAACCTTTCAGTCTAGGAGCGGAGGGCCCTGGGGCCATCAACGTAGAAGAGTGGAGAGTGGGACCCCCACCCAGAGAAGCAGTGAGGCCTGAGATGGAGGCAGAGAGGATGACTTGAAGAGATGGAGTGCCTGGGGAGTTGAGACCTAGAGAGGGAAAGGGGCTGTGTGCTGAGGACCGTAGGGGGTGGGAGGGGTGGGGGAACATACAAGGTATACCCCTTCGTTGGGGGATGAAGCATGGATGGGATGGTAGTAGCTAAGGCAATGAAATGATGTATGATAGAATGAATGTAAAACTAATGTTTCCCCATGTAAACGATCACTCAATGCACAATAAAACATTAAAAAAAAAAAAAAAAAAAAGAGTGTGCAGGAAATATATGCAGGAAAGAAGAATCATGAAATAAAAGCAATAAGGAACACTGGGAAAAGTAGAAAGAGAATCTGAGAGAATAACATCACACTATCAAAATGAATCGGGAATCCTACAAAAATGTGTGACAAGGGTATAACACACTACAGAGGTGCAGCTGCACCAGAAACAACAGGAAGCTTTTGTTTTTGTCCTGTAGGTCACTGGCTACTTGAAAATGCAGCTCCTGTGGAGCAGTGCCGAAAGAAATCAGATTGCAGGAGGCTAGGGTGTGTGGGAGTCCTGGTGGGGCCCTGTGGGATAACTGAACCACCAACCTAGTGGTTCAAACTCACCAGTTGTTCTTTGGAAACCCTATACAGGGTCGCTATGGGTCAGAACCGACTTGACGGCACTTAACACCATGTTGTTGTTGTGTCTTTCCATCTTGTTGAGGGTCTTCTTCTTTTTCACTGACCCTCCACTTTACCATGCATGATGTTCTTCTCCAAGGACTGGTTCCTCCTGACTGACATCATGTCCAAAGCATGAAATATGCTCTTAAGGAGCATTCTGATTGTACTTATTCCAACACAGATTTGTTTCCTCTTCTGGCAATCCATGGTACTTTCAATATTCTCCAATATCATAACTCAAACTTACAGTTTCTTTTATGGTCTTCCTTATGCATTGTCCAACTTTCATATTTATATTATGCAATTGAAAGTACTATGGCTTGGATCAGGCGTACCTTAGTCTTCAAAGTGATATCTTTGCTCTTTAACACTTTAGAGAGGTGCTCTGCAGCATATGTATCAAATTCAATAGATTGTTTGATTTCTTGATTACTGCTTCAAGGAACATTGATTATGGATCCAAGCACATGAAATCCTTGAAATTCCCCCCCCCACCCCATGTATCATGATGTTATTTATTATTTTCATTTCCTTTACATTGAGGTGCAATCTTCATCAGCAAGTATTTCCAGTAATATTTGCATTCAGCAAGGGAGGTTGTATCGTTTGAATATCATAGGTTGTTACTGCGTCTTCCTCCAATCTTGATACCACATTCTTCTTCATACAATCCAGCTTCTCAGATTATTTGCTCATCATACAGATTGAATAAGTATGGTGAAAGGATACTAACCTGGTGCACACCTTTCCTGATTTTAAATCATTCACTATCCCCTTGTTCTGTTTGAATGACTGCATCTTGGTCTATGTACCTCATGAGTACAATTAAGCGTTCTGGAACACCCAATCTTCACAAATTTATCCATAGTTTGTTATGATTCGCACAGTAGAATGCCTTTGCATAATCAATGAAATCTGGTATTCTCTGCTATCAGTCAATGATAGCCCTCATTCCATGTCCTCTTCTGAATTTCACTTGAAGTTATGGCAGCTCTCTGTTGATATACTGCTGCAACCAATTTTGAATAATCTTCAGCAAAATTTTATTTGCATGTGATATTAATGATATTGTTCAATGATTTCCACTTTCCATTGTGCCACCTTTCTTTGAAATGAATATAAATATGTATCTCTTCCAAATTTTATTGGAAGATAAAATTTTGTAGCATTCTTCCATATTTCTTGGCATAGATGAGTGATTATATCCAGCATTGTATCAATTTGTTGAAACATTTTCAATGGGAATTCTGTTGATTGCTGAAGCCTTGTTTTTTTTCTGCCAATGCCCTCAGTGCAGCTTGGACTTCTTCCTTTAATACCATCAGTTGGTGAAATGGTTGAACATCAACTTATCCTTCCATCATTATTTAATGTTTCTTACATCATTCAATATTTTGACCCTGGAATCCTTCACTATTTCAACCCTAGGCTTGAACTTTTTCTTCATTCTTTCAGCCTGAAAAATGCTGAGTGTGTTCTTCCCTTTTCGTTTTTAACTCTAGGTCTTTGCACATTTCATAATAAAACTTTTTCTTCTCGAGCTGTCTTTTGACATTTTCTGTTCAGGTCTTTTACTTTATCAGTTCATCATCTATGCTGAAAGCAAAAGCTCATTAAAAAGACAAGAAAGAAATAAAAGCCCGAAGTTGATATCAGAAGATAATCTAAAACTTGCTCTTGAACATAGAGAAGCTAAAGCTGCTGGGAGAAATAATGAAGTACATAGCTATAGCTGTATACAGTTCAGCCCGAGAGCTTACTTTGGGGGCTTCTG